TTCACAGCAGGGCTTATCTCACTTATGACCTGTATACTCCGTAACGAGGACCTGGCTCCCTCAGCAACGAGCGCCAAGAAGCATACTCTATGCATGCAGTCAATGCAGTCATCCCTTCAGTGTAGCATACAGCTCTCCATTTGGAAAATGGATACCTGGCTGTATGCAAGCAGCTGGCTTCATCAGACCTGAAATCAGACCTTCGCATCGTTAGGACCTAGGGACATGTATCTATGGTGCAATATAGGCTATGGCACTATGTATGGTACTATGTATGGTACTATGTATACCACCGGCTAAGAATAGACATGACTGGAGGTTACTGATTAAATTAACCTAGTATTCTTATTATATTCTTATTATACATGCAGCCATGCGCGCAAGCAACTAACCTATAGCGATATCGACCGGATCCGTCAGGCTGGGCTAAGCTCTCAAGCTACTGTAGTAGACCCCTACTTGCGATCCTTTTCTCGTATAAACAGGCGATTCTAATATGGAAAACCATCGTGCATGCATCTTATTTCCCCTTGTTCTCTTCGCCGGTTTCCGTAGCCTCAATTCCTCCTCTCTCGTGCGTACCTCGTAGACGGCGCCTGCTCCCCGGGCTTCTGGCCACTGGCCCATGGGCTTTTTCACATCCCCCCTCATTTCTTCAATTCAACCATCCCCTCACGACGTACGTATGTGTTATACATACACGGAAGCATGTCGATGAGGTACCTTGCATAACATAAGGCTAGGTACAAGAGAGGGGGGGAAGTAAGAGTACGATGCAATTCTAGTCGTGCGCCTCGAGTAGGGTTAACTTTTGCGTGCGTCTGTTAGTGTCTGCGCACCAAGACATCTAGGCACCTAGGCAGGGCAAGGTAAGGGTAGGTATTATTGACATCGATACATACATCTATCCATGATAGACGGGTGTAAGCGAGAGAGGCTCTGCCAAATTTAGGTTAAGGGATTTGAAAGGCTTCGATTTATTCTTATTCTTACATAATATCATCGGTTGTCCATCAATTTATTTACATAACTACCCATTTACATGCCTAGGTTACCTAGGTAGGTAGGTAGGTAGGTAGGTTAGTAGGTTGCACGTTAGCACGTTTTAACGATAGGTACATAAATCCCGATAAGTCTATGGATTAGTAGTACTTGGAACAAACAAGACAAGACAAGACAAAACAGCCCTTTGTGATAATGGGACGATGGAGGAATAGAAATGGCCATCAAGGTTTAGAAATGTGATAACTATGGTAGTAGCCAAGTAAAGTACCGCATCGAGGCCAAGGGTTTTTACCATTTGCGTATAAGGTATCGTACAATAGATACGTTAGGTATGTACCTGCGTACGTATGTATATATGTATGTCTATATGTATGTATGCATGGGCATCTAGGTAGGCAAATAATCATACATATAATCAATAACCATACTGTATGTACCTATATACCTACCTAACATAGGAATTCGCTGTTAGCAAAAAATCCCGTTCCTAAAGTCCAGGTGCCTCGTGACCCTAAATCATGCCACACCGCTTGAATGCAACGGTATCTAGGTACCCATTTTCGAAATCCCATCTAGCTTTTTTTATTTTTTTTCCTTCAATTTTTATTTTTTTTTGTTTCTCTAACCCTTCGAAATAGTTAGCTCACTTTTCTTTTTTTTCCCTTCTTTCCTTTTCCCCTTTGCCCCCCCTCTTTCCAGTAAGTTACCTACCTACCTATGTATGCAAAGCCCACATAATATATTCTTAGGCTTTCTTTGACGAGATTGGGCAGCTTTTCCTGTAGCCTGCCCACGATGAAGTATTAACCACCCGATTCATCGTTTTCGTATTTTTAACATTTTTCTCTTTTTTTTTTTCTATTTCTTCTAGTTGCCTTCTTCGTAGCTCCATAGTTCATACCCCTGCCCCTGGCCTTAACCCTCCCCCCCTGTTGCCCTGTGCCCTGACAGTTGAGTCGGATGGCCTTGTCCTATCTGCCATCATCAGAAAGGGCTCGACTGCTTAAGCGTCTACCACCATGGGCATATATAAAGTTGGTCCCATCCCAACTTAAAATAATCCACCTTTCCTAGGGATATCAATAGTCTCACGTACTCGACAGAAATACTTAAAGGGCTCGTCTCCCACTCCATCGTACTTCTAAAGCCCACCTACTTATACAAAACTATCTTCGAGGAAGTAGGCTTGCTACAATAGACCTATTCTCATACGTACACGTACACGTACACATATACTTGTTGTCTCTTCATAACCAAGGACACACATTCTTCAACGATCTTCCATCTCACATAAAACTCGTCTAGTTACATAAAAAGTGACAAGACTCTTGATTAAGACACCCTCAAGACTCGAGCTAAGCTTCAACTGCTCTAAGCCTCTTTCGGCCAACTGTCCGTCACCATGTGCGTCAAGGAGCGCCAACCTCTCGTCGATGGCTGCTGCACGTTCTGCTGCAAGGCAGTCGACTTTGGCACCCACGACTACTGCGGGAACAACTATGCCTGCCCACGGTGTCCCGATTAGGAGTCCGTCACCCTTTCCCTCCGATGCAAGCTACGGGGCTAAGATCCACGGGCTCGGCTGCTGTCCTTTTCAAATCACCACATCTTTATCGTGTTCCCCATTGTCCTACCTGGCCTCGACGAGATCCCCCGGCAACGAATTCTTGGAGTCACTTTTTTGCTTCGGCGTTTTTATTTTATTTTTCTTCTCACTCTTTTCGGTTGAGCCTTTGGGTGGTTATCAACCGTATAGGATGCGGACAGGGAAGAACCGCCAATGGAGGAAAAGTTTATGAAAGTTTCAACGCAACAACCTACCACCACTACTATTACTACTACTACGCCAGCATCGCTCGCAAACTGAATCAACTCACTTACACCAGTGACTCAAACTTGCTCTACTATCTTTACATACTGTATACAGAGTACCGACAACTCCTTCACCTGAGTCGCGCCCCGCATGCAAGGCTGACGATAAGACGGCACCTGGTCTAGGCGTCTGCAACCCTGTCTCGACGGTATCTTTCTTTTAAGGTTGTCGTCTTAAACTGGGATATGAGAGAAGAGGGCCTGCTTTGGTTGTATTACGTATGCTGCATACTGCAAAATGCACTGTAACTCCTCGTTACCATACGTTTGACCATCCCCCCCCCTCCTACTCCTCCCACGCACCTTGTTCGTTATGGCTCACCTCGACTCCATGCACCCTGACCACCCCCCCGGTTCTTCATGTACCACTTTCGTTGTTGCATTTGCGCTGGTTGTCTATTTTATTACTGCTTTTTATTTTTCTTACACGCATCCTGATTTGGCATTCCTTTGTTGGCTTGGGATGGGGACCCGGATGCAAACTGGAGTTCATATGGAGCAACGCGCAGGGATTCCAGGTATTGCTTTTTTTTTGGTGTGACATTTGGGCGCTGCAAAGAGTTTAGGAACTGAATATCATGTGTAAGGGCGCAGGGTCTACGGGCATTTTTTTCTCCATTATTCTAGGTATACAGTACTGATAGAGCTATGGTGTTTCTTTCTTATCCCCCCCGCGCCGTTTTTTCCTCCCTTCCACTGTTCCTTGAAAGCTGGCGGGTAGATCCCGGATGGACCCGCAAATCGCAGCGGGATTTCTCTTGCTGGTCCCTGGTCTCTTTAGTCGGGGCGCGACGATATACCTCCTGGTTATACCCACATTGGTTGGATATGAGATCTAAAAGCAGACAGCCGCGGACTGGGGAATAAGTGGTGTTTTCTAAGCTTATTTACGATGAGAATTGTCTATGGGTTAGTACATTCTTTGCGGAAGAACTAGACAATGGCCAGGGGGAAAACGACTACTACCGCCCACCGGAGTGTCTCGATTTGCATAGGAAGTAAATGTCTGGGAAGGGAAATTGTTTTTTCTTTTGCGGAGAAACGACATGGAGAGTGTGTGGTTTCTATCCATTTTCTTATATTGATACCTTGTCACGCGGGTAATTTGGGATGATTATGCTTATTCTCGATGATACCAAGGCATGTTATGAGAGTCAGATCAATCAATGAATGCATTTAGTTATGATACAATCTATCATACCCCGGAATCCCATCTTTTCTCCCTGTTCTTATGTGACCCATCCTTGCTATTCAGGCCTTATGATCCCCGTCTGTCTGCATGTTCAAGGTCTCACTTCCAAATATGGCACTGACGGACCCTATCGACCATCGGCCATCGACCATCGACCATCGATCCTCAGTGCCGTAGCACTTCGGTCCGTTCGGCGACCGTCGTACCGGGAGTGGTAGATAATCCTTAGGCGGAGTCCATGCTACCGTAGCAAGGATGAATCGCGTCGCTGATGCTGATTACTTCTGGCATTAACATTGGGGTCTATATGACACGCGTCTCGGGTTTCGTCCATGACTATCATCGCTCCCGAGTTCATGTTTTTTCTTTCTTTTTTTTACTTACGGGGTTGCCATGCCATGCACGTGTGTACAACGTGCTTACGCCGCACCGAAGCTTGCTATTCAACGGGCCGCCGTAGCTGGTGAAGGACTCTAACCCGTGCTGGACCGCCGCAAGGGGCTGATAAAGGATAGTCCCATACCGCATTTTATTTCCCCATTTGGGCTATATATTTCATGGTAGTAAGGATTACGAGACATAAGATGACATCTATATCATACGTCTCGCGGTAAGCAATGCCATTATACCTGGGTAAACGTGGGCCACGTAGCTTCCTTTGCTTCAGGATTCTACATACATAAACATACGTGCGCGCATCATCATATACATGAGCTATTAACCCACGAACCGGGATGGGTCATGGGAGCAACGAGCTACAGTAACCACCCATCGCCATTCTTCCTATATACCTCGGCATAACGAACCAGGAGGAAGTTGAAAGTTACGTGAGGGACAAGGGTGTGTACGCAATGTTTAAGGTAGGCGAACAAATGCGGACGGCTTGGGACTGATCAACAGAAAGGCCATGTACGTCCGTCCATCCCGGAGAATAACTACATGAGTAGTATCGATAGGGTGCCCTGCTGCCCTGCTGCCCACCCCCCTGATGCTGCTGCTGCTGCTGCCGCCACTTGCTCGAGAAGGGCTAACCCGTCACCCCATCGTCGACCGAGATCCAATCATCCCGAACACGGAGTTGAACCCGAGTAGACAACTGTTCGGGTCAGCGGGGGCGATATCGAATCATCAATGTGCATTCTGATATCTGATATATATTCTTACTCGATAGCAATGAAACCCCAGTGGCAAGAAACATCATTATCGTCATCATCCTCTTGCAAAAACTTGGGTGGGCAAGCCTAACGTATCCAGCTAGCCTTCTACGGCAAGGGTCGGAAGAGGAGGCACATTGCTTTGCGCTCCTGTTATCGTGGAAGCGTCGGGGTTTGCTTGTCATCATTGATTATTATATTCTATTTCCTTTCTAGTGATAAGATTGGTCGGTCAAACAGCGGGCGCTCAGAATTCATATAGATACATGTAGGTACATACATGCTCGTGCCGCGAACATATTCCAACCAAATCATGTCCGCACCATCCAGGAAGTGAATAGAACAACGGGAGAAGCAGAGCCTGCCGCAAACTAGATGGTCCCAGCCCTGTAGGAAGGATGCTAAAGGGCTCGCTGCAGCATGCATAGCAGCTAAGGAGCAGACTTGGCGATGTTGTGTTGGAAGAGAAGTTGGGTGGTCCAGGTCGGTTCAGTGGAGCACAAACGGGCAGGGTGTGCGGTCAGTGCAGCGTGAATCGTTCCTGTCCTGTCCGGTCCTGCATAACGGGTTGCAGGAGGGCATAACACAGCTCCGTCTCTCATTCGCCGCCAGCGCGGTTTGTTCCTAGCTATCAGCGAACTGGCTGCAATACCTACATACTAGGCTACGGTTTTCTCCCATGGGGGTTAGGGATTGGCAGTCCATGCTCCTAAACACCCATCATCTGCCTTCTGTCAGCGCAACGAGCAAAGCAAGAGCAGCGATAGGTACAAAACGTAGGTAGGTATGTATGTGAATAAGTGCGCGTAGGCGTGTGCCTGTAGGATGTACCCAACCAGGCAAGGCCACCCTGGGTAGATAACTAACTAGCTCGCAGCAGTCTCGTCAGTGTCTCCCAAGTTAGAAGAATCGACGGATCTTGTGGAGCCAAAGGAGTCGAATTGGGCATCGCTGTGCTGCGCTGTCGCTGCTGTGTAACGGGCAAATCGCCCGGGATATGAGCGACTGGAACTGACTGAGCGACCCACGAGCTGATTAGCCAGATATTCTTGTGTGGGTTGTGTGGCATGTGGCATACCTAGGTCTAAGTTCACGGAGGACTGTAGACGATGATTTGAAAGCGATTCCCAAAGCAATATACCTAAATCGGCATGCCTTGTTGGAAAGAGGGGTACATTTTGTCCAGCAGACATGGAGGAGCTAGGGGTAGAAAGCCACATTGCTACTTGGTGGTCCACTTTGGCTAGGTAGGGATGAGTTACGAATATGGTAATAGGCGGATTAATCAACTACACCAAGGCCCCGGATCCCATATTGCGGGAATGGACCGGACTGAGTATGCGAATAACGACGGCTTCTGGCGATTGCCGCTGTTTCCTGACTCTAGAGAAGACCTAGGAATTCACCGACCTCACCTTGAGGGACCAGGGTCCTGCTATGTAAGAAGCACCATCGATTCCCTGCATGCAGGTCGACCGAGAAGGGAAGACATTACTTAAGCAATAAATGCCAAGGGATAGCAACGCAGATAGCCTGGCCCACAAGGATTCCTAGTCTTTGGATTATCTGGCGAAGGAGCTTCTGCTGCTGAAAGAGCGTTACTCTGGGATGGGGTTCTCCATGACCTTGATGTTCCTTTGATCGTCGCTGCAGGCACGTATTTCTTGGTCCAACCCAGCATCCATTAGTCACATATCACATTTTGATATCTCATCTTCCCTCTGGGGATTCAGCCTAGTGGAGCTGATCCCCACGGCCCCGACGACGGCAACATCGTCTTACATCGGATACAACTCATCAGGTCATTCTCAATAAAAGGGTACTTGAACATGACCAGGTCCGGCAGATGACCCCCCTGCAACAATCCCTCCTTCGAAACTCCAAGGCAGGCCAAAAGGGTATCATTTCTAAACAACAAACAGGACACCCTTCGCAGTGCGCATCTTGCGTATTTCCAAATTGTTGGTACCGTAACGGAGATTCATGGTGAATCATTCCTGGTTCGGTCACCTTGGCCCGGTGACCCCCACTCCCATCCAAGCTTCACTCTCAAAATTTAGCTACCGCTTATAATGAAAGCCTGCCCGGGAATAATTAGATATTAACTTACAGCTGCGACCCTGCCTGTTATGCTGTAGCATCGTGAACAAATCATATGATGATCGCCATATACAAACCTAGTGTAAGGTCTGTTAGGCATATTTCGCGACACTCAAACGGCTCGGCTGGCTTTAAGCTGGTCGGCAGATGTCTCGGCACTCTTTATCAATAAAGGCTTAGGAAGACAGCAGCGATCGATGACTTATCATACTTGACGTACTTGCCCTTGCCCTTGTCTATCTCGTGGTACCGGTCCCAGAAGCGATTGTAAAGAGGCTCAAGCATCTGCTGCATGTCCTTGGCCAACATTTGTCTCACTTCCCGTTCCATGCTATAGGTCTTGTGCCGAGCTACTAATTCATCAAAAGATGCGTTGAAAATCTGGAATTTCGCCTTGATACTGTCTTTGTCTTTGCTGCTAAGCCCCTTGAGAATCGATGCTGATTCTGACGAGCCAGAAGGCGGCCGTTGGGTCCGATTCGTGTGGATTACGTCAAATAAGTGCATCGACACATCTTTGCATGCCTCGGCATAGTAGGCCTTCGCCTTTTTGCGCCAGCCCTCTAGGGTGCCGAGCTTGCCTTCTAAGAGTGGTTTGAGGTCAGAGTCCCGAATCATGCGTTCAATGATAGTGACACTGTTAGCTAAAAGCACGCCCCAGATGGACTTTCCTTTTAGCAATGCCCTCGCTTTCTGCTCGAGCGCCGACATTAGCGCATCTATCGTATCAGTACAATAGTGCGCAAATATCTCCTTCCCATCGGCGCCAATATCGAACGATGCCAGGCTAGGAATTCCGTCCATACTAGTGCTCGCGGCGGCGGCGGACCTCCAACCACCGTCCCCTAGCGAGATCATAATGCTAGATATTGGCCGAAGGAAGTCAACCATGGTTTGCAAGCGTTGCATCGTCTCTGATACAACGGGCACCGGCGAACCATCCGACGGGAGGGCTTGCGTTGCCCCCACTCTCCGCTTCGTCTCCTCGAGCAGCTCGGCAAGTGAAGACTTACCCGTCTCGCGTACTGGTTTCAATGCGGCGGCCAAGGTAGATCTAAGTTCGCCTGTGCGCTCTTCGATATTGTTGGACAGATTAGACATTATTTCAATGACTTCATATGCAAGATAACAGTCGGTGTTAAGATGGGCCTTGATGTGATTGTTGAGTTCTCGAATCGTTCGAGCCAACTCAGCCAGCGGGGCTTGGCATGTCATTTGAAAAGCTGGTCCCCAGTCTTGTCGCATAAATATGTTGCAGATATTGTCGTATTCGGCAACGAATAAACCTTCCATTGCCTGCGCGTACATGCCAATTCCATTGGTACCAGCCCTGTAAATGGCGTCTGGACTCTTTTTCTTTGCCGTGTTCACGCTTGCATATGCTAGGTTCACTAGGGTCTGTTGTAGATATTGTCCTCGTACTTCCGCGTAGATTTTGATTAGCGGGTTCTCGGACAATGAGTTGCCAGACACATATGAGTTCATTAGGCTCAGGCGCGAGATCTTATCCTGGGTCAATAGGGGGAATGGCGTGTTTTTGGTCGTATATTGCAGCGGTTCAATAGAGCGAGGTGTCTCTGCCCGCAACATCTTGTCAAACGAGTTCTCGAGTTGGGTATTTCCAGATTTGATTAGGCGTTGGAGGTCAGTCATGGTTTGCTGATTTGCGCGCAGGTTTGAGGTCTTCATGTCTGTCAATGCCTTGTTCAACCGTTTAATGGAGTTTAGGTAGTTGGATAGACCGGCCTTCTCTGGCCCCTGACGGATAATCGCTTCCTCGTCATTCTTTGAATCGGCGGGCTGGCGAAGTCTTTCTATAGCTCCTATGACGGCATCGATGTCTATGGGGGGTTACGAATTTAGTACAAGGCATAGGACACAAAGTTATTGGGAAGTATAAAAGGGAACGAGCTCACTATTTCCCAAGACCTGAAGCTTTTTTGTTTCGCCGGTAAGGGGACCTGATACATCTCGCACACTTTTGCCGGTAGCTTCCAATCTTCCTAGACATGCTTGGATCTTCTTGGTCAATTGGGTTGTCTTCTCTAGTCGCGAGTTGAGCACATCAACTTCAGCACGAGCTTCCTCATCAGCGGCATGGCGACTGTTAGACAATCCTACGGCCATGGTCCACTTCTACTTTGCGACAGGCAACACAAAACGCGAAATTCGAAGGCGACACGGATAATTCGAGGGTCAATAAGTGTATCGTATTGGTGGATGCGAACGTTGATGTTTAGTTTAGGTTTATGGTGTCGGAAACTGGACCGGCAGGAAATAGGGAAGTACCTAAGTAATACCTTGTAAGGATGACGGCAATGGATGTCAACTAGGTAGATTGTACCTAGGAGGTAGGTGTTGTGGCTGAATCTAGGGGCTGTTTAGACCGTTAAGACATGCTATCGGCTGACTCCGCTGGGGTTAAACCGCTGGAAGTTATGCGCCGTAGTTTGACCGCAGGCGCATGCCTAGGTACCTACTGATATTCGTCTCATCACTCCAATCATTTTATCTCCAAGATGTGATAAATGCACTAGGTTTCCTGACTGAATGCATGAAGCATGAATGGAACCTCCTAGTTACATCACATAAACTTGTTCTTTCTATTTAAAAATTTATCTATCTGCCTAGGTAGGTACATGTAGTACCTAGGTAACCTGTGTAAGGTAAGCTACCTAGCTAGGTACCTAGGTACATAGGGAGTTGCTAGTAAACGTTACTTGCAAGCATTGAAGCCGGAGGTAATCGGAGGACTTAGATTACTAGATTAGGACATTAATTGATGTGGGGCATCTGCAACCACTTTACCTACTATGTAGTAGTAAAGACGCGTTCCGCGCCAAAAGCGCGTTTAGAGACGCGACATGAATTTTTTACTTCCCCTCTGCCCCTTATCCTAAACAACCTGAACTAGCAACTCGACCTGGATCTTCAACCTTCCCCCCACCTATGCCACATCGCTCCATACCCAACCACTAAGAACTATCGTGGCATTAAGCTGTCCTTTTAATTGCTGTAACTTACTGTGTTTTCCTACTAAACCAGAAGATTAGGCAAAGTTAAGGCATCATGGACAGTTTCATGCTTCGAGATGAAGCGGCCAAGGAGCGTATTCGCTTGGCCGAGGAGTTCCTCGATCCTCGTAAGCTAGCTACCAAACAACGCCGGCATCAGTATGATACTAATGAATACTTCCATCGACAGATGACCAGCATGCGAGGAGTTACAGATCCGATATCATTCTAATGCTTCAGAAGAACCAGAGGCGGTTAGTCGTCAATTTAGACCACGTTCGTGACCACAACGCAGAACTCGCAGACGGCTTATTATTCGATCCCTTTGACTATACTCTCGCCTTCAACCATGCGCTCAAGGAGATCGTAAAAACTATCCCTCAAGCAAGACCCGATCAGACCGACCCGGATGTCTTATACTACTGCGCTTGGGCAGGCAGCTTTGGTCTAAATTCTTGCAATCCGAGAACGCTATCGTCAAACCACCTTAATCATATGGTATCGATCGAAGGCATCGTCACAAGATGCTCGCTCATCAGACCAAAGGTTGTGAAGAGCGTGCATTACAATGAGAAGAAAAATATTTTCCACTTCCGCGAATATCGCGACCAAACTATGACCAATGGTGTGACTACATCAAGTGTCTATCCCCAAGAAGATGAGGAGGGTAACCCACTCCTAACAGAGTACGGGTTCTGCACATATAGGGATCACCAGACGATTTCCATACAAGAAATGCCCGAGAGAGCTCCCGCCGGCCAACTCCCCCGTGGTGTGGACGTCATTTTAGATGATGACCTAGTTGACAAGGCGAAACCCGGTGACAGAGTCCAACTTGTTGGTATTTTCCGGACACTTGGAAACCGAAACACAAATCACAATAGTGCACTCTTTAAGACCATAATCTTAGCAAACAACATTGTCCTTCTCTCATCCAAAGCAAGCGGCGGTGTAGCAACAGCAACAATTACCGACACCGATATCCGTAATATCAACAAGGTTGCCAAGAAGAAGAATCTCTTTGAACTTCTATCGCAGTCATTAGCGCCTAGTATATTCGGCCACGACTATATCAAGAAGGCGATCTTACTCATGTTACTAGGTGGCATGGAGAAGAACTTAGAGAACGGTACACATCTCAGAGGTGACATCAATATTCTCATGGTCGGTGACCCTTCAACAGCCAAGTCGCAACTTTTGCGCTTCGTGCTCAATACTGCGCCGTTAGCCATCGCAACAACTGGTCGCGGTTCATCGGGCGTCGGTCTAACGGCGGCTGTCACAACTGACAAGGAAACTGGTGAAAGGAGACTAGAAGCCGGCGCTATGGTTATGGCAGACAGAGGTGTTGTCTGTATTGATGAGTTTGACAAGATGTCCGATATCGATCGAGTTGCTATCCACGAAGTTATGGAACAACAAACAGTCACCATTGCCAAGGCCGGCATCCATACGTCGCTCAATGCTCGATGTAGTGTCATTGCAGCCGCCAATCCTATCTTCGGTCAATACGACACTCACAAGGATCCACACAAGAACATCGCCCTCCCGGATTCCCTCCTATCGCGTTTCGATCTCCTGTTCGTCGTTACGGATGATATCGAAGACACCCGAGATCGCCAAGTTTCCGAGCACGTCTTACGTATGCATCGCTATCGGCAGCCTGGTACTGATGAGGGTGCTCCTGTTCGCGAAAACGCCCAGCAATCCCTTAGTGTTGCGCTACAGAGTCAAGACGCCACTCAAAAGCCTACCGAAGTATACGAGAAATTCGACGCGATGCTGCACGCTGGTGTTACTCTTACTACTGGTCGCGGCGCCAATAAGAAGCGAGAGGTTCTCAGCATTCCGTTCATGAAGAAGTATATCCAGTACGCAAAAACGAGAGTCAAGCCTGTACTAACCCAGGACGCTTCGGAGCGTATTGCGGAAATATATGTCGGGCTACGCAACGACGAGATGGAGGGCAATCAAAGGAGGACATCTCCTCTGACCGTCCGTACATTAGAGACGCTGATCCGTTTGGCAACCGCGCACGCCAAGTCACGACTCTCAAACCGAGTAGACGAAAGAGACGCGTTGGCAGCTGAGGCTATCCTCCGTTTTGCCCTATTCAAGGAGGTGGTTGAGGACGAGTCAAAACGAAAACGCAGGCGTACTCAACGACCTGAGTCAGGCTCATCAGACGAGGACAGCGATGATGATGACGGTGATCGTGGTGATAGCAGCTACAGGGGATCGACGGCTCGCGGTAGGGCTGCTCCATCAACCCGCACGACTGGTCGCAGCCAACCATCTACCAACGGCGGCCGTCGTCCTAACGGCGCGAATACCAGCAAGACTCCAGGTACTCCCGCACGAGGAAATGACGACGACGATGAGGATGAAGATCTTTATAACGCTACGCCACGGCGTTCTAACAGAACCGGCCCCGCATCCTCATCAAACGCACCCGTAACATCCCAAGTCTCATTCGCCTCCTCTGTACCAGCGTCGCAACTCGAGACGCAGGAAGAAGACACGCAAGAAGATGCGGAACTGGCCGCCGGTGCAGCCGAGCTCAATATCGAAGTGCCGATCACCCCCGAGAGGCTAGCGACATTCCGGACGGCGCTTGGACAGCTTCTCAGCACGGACCTGTTCGAAGACGACTCGGCCAACGTAGCTCAGGTCATCGAAGCTGTCAACAAACGCATTGAAGGGAAAGAAGCCACTTTCTCGAGAGAGGAGGCTGTCAAGGCGCTTAAGAAGATGGATGATGCGAACCAGATCATGTAAGTGACTTCTTTCAGAGTTTGGGCGTATCGATACTAATGTAATGGCACAGGTACACGGATGGCGATTTAGTATACAAGATCTAAGGCACGATGAATACGACGCAAGAGACATCGTTACCACCCGGAATTGGTTGATTTATGGGGTTTGATGAGTTATGAAGGCCGATGAGTTTGGTGGTCACCATGATGTATCACGATCTTAGCATCCCCACTGTTGCGGCCTGGCCGGCATATGAAGCCTGCTATGGTATTCCAATGCGAGTACAAACCAATCCGCTTATTAAATGGATATAGAGTGTTACGAAGAGACGTAAGAGAGGGTTATGTAATTTGATGAGCCACGCTATTAATGGATATTGATTCGGATTGTTCGAATGGGTTATACCAATGAATAGGCTCAATATCAGGTTCTAAATGAAAGAACATGATACCGTGATATTTTATACTATAGTATCCGAACCGTCAAAGAATCAAACCATGAAATGCTTTGAAGCCCAACAGTTTTGAGGCTTTGGTATGTGTCTTGGCCAAGAGCCATATTACGGACGAAACTCGTAACTGGTTAGGTACCTCCTAACTAGCTCGTAATTGAGACCATTTACACATTTGGGGATGTCTTCTGGTTTAAACATCCTCATTCATACCTACATGTACTTACTGTACTTGTTTAACCAAGACTTAGGTGCCCAGGTACTTAAGTTCCACCTCTCCTAATACGCTTCATTGAGAGTTATAACTTAGGTAGGTAGATACCTATATATGGAGTGTTAGGAATAGCTTAGCCTAGATGATTAACAAGCACGCGTTATACACTCGAGCATTTACAAGACAAGCACAAGCACAGGCACAGGCGAATATAGCCTAAATTTCAAAGAAATCAAATCAAATCCATTTTGCGAGAAACCAGCCCGATATCAAGAATCCCTAAACCCATTACTGTGCCATCCCGGAAACAAAGGGGGCAAGTATGGTTCTGTCTCTTCCTTGCAGAGACGCCGGGCAAACAAACACAACGACCCTCTAAAAGACAAAAGTGCTAGTGCTAAGGCCTGCATCTAGCTTACAAATACACATGCGTCGCAATGCCTCTATAACAGGCCATTAAGAGATCGACTAAGCGATCCAGGACTCAGGGTGTTTCATCTCACGCCTGGTTGCACAGATAGGTGCTAACTATCCTATAATAATATAACCTCTCCGCAGACTCCAACCCTGTTCATCCAAGTAAACTGGTCTGTCCATGCGTAACGGTCAAATCGTACGAGTGTATCTAAGCAATAGCTAAACCACCGCGTAACGAAAAAAAACAAACTGCTCATCAAGTGGTGGATGCACTAAGAAGCTTTATCACCCAGCATTTTCGCAATCTCCTTGGGCATATCTGCAAACTTCTCCTCGAACGTCTTCTCAAACTTCTCACAGTTGGTCCACATCGGGGAGCCTCGTTCGTGGTATGCGTAGCAGTTAGTGAAGATCTGGCGGATGTCGGCCGAGAACTGCTGCTCGTCGTGGTATTCTTTGCGGTCCATCTTACTTTTGATCGTGCTAAGATCCATGGGCATCTTGATCTTTGTTAGGTAGTCGGGCACGCCATCTTCGACAGGGCGAACGGGTTCGCGGAAAGGACCAACCAAGCGAGTCCAGAAGCCTATTGATTCCATGTTAGTATAAAATAACCAATGGCAGATATGAATAATTATAAGGCAGATAACTTACCAGGTCCAGATAGCATCTTACCCAAGAGTCGCTCGCAGAACCATAGCTTATCTTCCGTGGAGTATTGGGAAAGATCGGCGTTTAAGCTGGATCGCTTGAACTTGACGGGCTTCGGCGTAGGAAGTGATGCTCTCGAGGCGGGTTTCTTAGACCCGAACTTTCTTTCACCAGACGTTAGCTTGTTCGAGGCCACATCCGAGTGACGATGTTTCTGTGGCTTGGTGTATACATCGTCTTCACTATCTTCTGGGTCTAGATAGTGGACATTCTTCCTCTGAGCCTGGCTGGCAGGGGACAGGACAGGATTGACCTGTATGATGGGCGAAGAGTTCAGATGGCTCATTGCGATTACGAGCTCGCTAAGTACCTCTTGAGGCAAAGACTTCGTGAATTCTTGTCTGGATTCTGAGGATCTTATGTACTCGGCAGCCCAGTTCAGAAGGAGTGTGCGGATAGAGGAGCCCTCAGGAGCGTCTTTCCACGCCTGTACAAGGAGAGGCGTGGCGGGAATGTGCTGTGTGACACGTCTGCATTCAGCCATAGCTTCGAGGGTCTCGTCGCAGAGACCTTCAATACCTAGCTCATTTCCCAGCTTCCAAGAGGCAATCAGAATTTCATATCCAGGGAGAGAATCGGCGTCGGGAAAGAGGCTTCCAGTGTATAAGAAGTTCTGGACGAAGCCAAATACTTCAGGAGTAGCTTGGGGAAGTTTGACAATATGCTCAAGCCCAGCGTCGTCCCCCTGTTTGTTGGCAAACTGGATACGATAGTGAGAGGACTTGGCGCAGAGGAAGTCCTTCTGGATGCCAAAGGGGACCTCATCCTCACCAACGAGAATAACCACGAAGATAACATGGGGTTGCCTTGATGATACAGAGGTGAGTAATAATGATAAATATATCAGATAAGAGTATTGACTTACAACCAAGAGAATCTGGTAGGAATGACAACATTTACTGCAGCATCCGCTACAGTGTCCGCTCCTCCACTTACAACCTCGGCCATTGCTTCAGGTTCTGACGCCATGATTTCACCCCTATGTTAACCAGAGGTCAGATGGGAAATAGTTTTAATGATCGGACAAGTTCTCCAGAGGTGATGGTTTATGCTGAGGAGGGAGAGACACCAGAAAGGTGTAATGTGTAATGTGTAAGATGTAAGATGTAAAATGTAAGACAATAAAAGGTTCTCATGAATAATGAAGGATGAAGGATGGAGAATGAAGAATGAAGATTCAAGATCGATGCAACAATTTGGTTGGGAATAGTTAATTCGTCTTCGTCTTCGTCAAGTTCAAGTTCAAGTTCAAGTTCAAGTTCAAGTTCGGATTGAAGGTGCGACGCGGGGTTCTTTAATAAGAAGCAAAATGTCAATCGCAGAAGGAACGTACCTATAATAGTGAGTCAGTTGAAGTTGGAATATCCATAATTGATCATCTATTTCGTACTCACTCGGACTTCTAATATTCACTTCATGAGATTCATCAGACTCGGAAACAGACAAGTGACAAGCCACAGCTTCACTCAAACGCTAAAACTTTACGCCACAGTTATCGCGCTTTGGTCGCGACTAAGGTTCTTTACTAGGTTAGGTGTAGATACAGCAATGTTATTTTCAAGAAACTTTGGCGGAAGTAAAGTGGTTTAAAGATTAAAGATTGCACACATTCAATTCCCCATGGCATTGTTGAAATGGAAGGTGGAAACAGATTGACCGAGTCTTGTTGATGATGAGTTTCGGCGCGATGTTAAGCTTCGTAGCTGCCCTCAAGAAAAATGCAAATGGGAAACTCCAAATCAGGGGTGACACCAGGTGCGGGTACGTACAAATGAGCCTCCACCCAGCCACAGTAACCTAACCTTAAGCTCTACCTAGGTAATATATGCTTATGTAACCATGCCCTGCACAGTTATCTGTTATTGCTACTGCGCCTACAGCGGTTATCTACCAATTCACACACATATTACTATAGCTACTTCAATTATAGTTACGCCGGATAATTTTAACTATATTATCGTACTAAGCATTGAATTGTTATTGATGCGTCTTCAGATATTAAAGCATGGTACATACCTAGGTAGTTATACCTACATACATGTACTCAACAATTGATTCAAACCTGTATAATTCCTTCTAACTACCTGTTAGTTATTCATTATGCTCAATTGTCTCTTTCACCATAGCCTAGCGTTATGAATGTAAAAAAAAAAAAAAAAAAAGCTATGAAGTTGACAACGTTATAAATCATGTCTTAAAAGATAACGGTTGACTACCTAACCTAGTATTCATTCAGCTTAACCAACTTATAAAAGACTATCTTGCTTATTATAATCTAAACATCCAAGTAACCAGCAATTATGACATCAACTTATGCTGTAAGAGTTTCCAATGTTTAACCAAATCTAACTTCCTTTAATTATTTAGGTTAGGTACCTACGTGGATTTCACAAAGCATTCACTAATAGTAGTAAGAATCTGGGACTCAAGCTTAGGCCATATAACATTAACCTAGCAAATACATACTTCCTAGTGAATAAATCATAGCAGTTAATATCTAGCTTACATTCAGCCTCTAGAGTTTCTCATATAATACTCATTCATAGGGATATCATTGACTCTTTCAACACTTCTCAAAGCACCAGGGAATCGTGAATCGTATTAAGACTTCTCGTGGCTCGGCAGGAAAACACAGCTGGAACGTGCATCCGTTCGCCCATGGGTTCCCACTCGAATCTGTGTGAAATTTACGGGCTATCGGTTATCCATTGACCAACGAGCGGCCGCATTTCGATTTGTGACAACATGCTGTCCAGTCACTCTCTGTTCGCATGTGAAGACCTGCCTAATCTCACACGCCTCGATAAACAAACCCATGAGGTTCTCCAAAAGTTCCGTCACTTGCGTATTCCCTTGTTCTTTGCTCTCCGGGATTGGTTCAGATCATTCGATTGTATTTTTCGGGTTGCTATGGAACAGGTGCCACCGAACTGGATCAGCTGTTGGTGTAGACGTACAAGTGAGCTATCATTTTGTTCTTTATATGTTCGCGAAGCATCGCAAGTTAAAAGAAGCAGGGTGTTGTGGGCATGCCTCGTCCGCTCGAGCGAATGTAACCGCCGCAGCGGTAGTTGCACAGTATACAGTCGTTCTCATTCAGGCGCTTACAGGTTGCATATTTGCCGGACCTTACATACATAGTATGTACCTGGCAGATAATTCTCCTAAACAACCTTCGATGAAGCCACGCCTACTCATCTCCGAGGCTTACTACGCTGTGTAAACAAAGAGGAAGTGATAATGTCCTGAATCCTATCACAATCGAATCAAACTGTCAGGATATGTACACCAAAACTCAACTCCTTGCCTATCTCCTGCAAGGAGGGTTCACTCCAATGCAATCTTGATATATTAGCTTATGTTGAACAATAATCAGTTTCCTATCCATGAACCCCTCATAAATGAGGCTATATCATGCTGGTCATTATATTTACCGCATCTCAGGCACATAAAGTTTCTAGCCATAGTTGAGCTTTGAGTGCTAATTATGGATGGATATGATATCGCACTCTGCCACCAAAATGTAGATGCGGTAACAGGTTAGACCCCTACAACTCTCATCACGATGAATACCATTCTTTTCGAAGTACGTGATGATTGCTTTTTACGGTGGCGTAGCTAACAGACTGAATTCCTAGGAGTAACGGCACAGTATTCCGAGGGATTGTGGAAGGTCCTCCCGAACTCTCACACCGGTGAGTCCAAAGTCAAGCCGGCTGCAGGCGATGCATATCCGGTTGCATTCCCGCTGCAAGTTATTCTCAAGGAACCAGGTTCGCCAATGAAGGGTACTGCGGCATGCATATCTAGTGGTCCTTTCTCCGCACTCGACCCCAACATCTGAAATCTGATAATCGAGCCAAGGCCCTCGAACAATCCATAAGCCTTGCCGAAAGTGAGAATACTAGGTCGCAAGTGTTCGGTAGAGTAGATCCGTACAGCAGGGAATATAGCTTCTACCTTATTACTCCGATGATTGTTTACTAAGTATATTTCGCGAAATTTAATGGTATGATATAAACCACCTCGATTGGCTTAGGTTCTGCAGCAACCTGTTCATCTATCAAGACGCGGGTTTATCGTACTCGCTAGCTACTTTTGCAGATGCAGGTCAGCAGTAGACCTTTGCGGCTGAATACTCGTTCACACTGGTATCTCTTAGGTCAATGAAACCATCGATCGGGCGGGTTACAGTTACATGTCTACCCTCTCACGGGTATGAAGCCAGGAATCCGGGAGTGATATTGAGGCAGTTGGTATGTGGCAGCGTTTAATACAATCGCTGGAATAGCAAGTCTGAAGGTTAGAAGTACAATCCAAATTGACAATGTTTCCTTTCATAGCGGATCGCAGCGGTTCTTCTATGGGGGCCCCGTTAGTAAGATCGCTATGTAAATTGAGTTGCGATAGTAACAATGTAACGGTATTTGGCCTTTGTACTGCAACCTAGTGCCGCGACCGGCTAAAAAATCAGCTACAGTAGGACCCTGATGAATTGGAATGTTGCCCACACTTCGCGTAATGGGCATGGCTCCATGATCGTTTCATCTTTGACGCCATGACGGAATAATAAATGAATAGAATAAATATGGGAAATATGGTTAGCTGGATATTATATATAGTGTTGAAGTAGTGTAGGTTGATACTGCCACTAGCAGGTGTGTTCCTATCAATAACAATTTCTTCATTGGTGCCAGATATCATGTACATAACTCGTAAGTATGTACTATTTGGCTACTTCTATATCTTACCATAAGAAGGTAACGTTAGCATGTGAAAATTTTACCGTGGCAACAGCTTGTACAAATTTTCTACTTCTTTCAGATAAGGGTAGTCCGGCAGCTCCGAGATCAATGAGAATGGCCGACAGGATGGAATTGGGCCGTGAAAGACCGAGGTGTGGAGTGGCGGTGGTCGACCGTTGAGGCTAGAGTATAAGGAGCCGACATTTGGCCGACGTTTCGTGGTAAGTTCTTTTTTGGTGTTGAGTTGTAGTGGAGTTCGTAAAGGGGTATGCTGAGGTTACCTATGGGTTTTAAGAGGGGTTTATCGTGAACGTTCCTGGCTTATACTTATGCTTCACATTCATAATAGATCAGACCTAAGCCATTAAGGACCCATAAATATGGATATTAGCTGGGGCCGCTCTCCTCATCCCCGGCAAGATCCGAACCCAAGCGGAGCGTAGTCTCTTCTAAATGTCCGAGTTGGTGTTCTAATCCGTCTTCAGTCTGGCCATCATCGTCTTCTGCCTGTCCAAGAAGAATGTCCTCGCTTCCCTGCCATTGGGGTGGCATACTTGGCATTTCTAATTCATCGTCATCTTCCCAGCCATAGTCTTCATCTTCGCTATCTGCAACCTCAAAATCGGTTTGCCCTAATTTTCGCTTATGTCGCGAAGTTGGGGACAGAGGCAAGGATGCTTGGCTCTCATCCAGGCCGACACCAACAAGACCGTCCTAAGCGGGTCAATATTTCAAGTTAGTTGCGGGGCACGAGTTGACTTACGCTCTGGACATGAAAGGCAAAAACTTGACTGAGGCCCCCCGCGGTCATCTTACCATTCAATTTCTGAATGCCAACAAAGTGGACATTGTGGACCGTGTTATTCCCCATTATCCAGTCCCTAAATAGAACTAGCCGAGTAGCAATTCCCTGTTCCCAAGTGCCAGCATTAATAGCGGGGATGAGAGTAGCGCCATGCTCAAACTGCATTCGAGTAGCGCACTGAGACAAAATTACGATGCAAATATCCCTCGTAGCGGAAAGTTTCTGAAGCGTCGAAATCAAGAACTGAAGGACTTGCAACCTTCTAGCCGAAGGTCCTGGCCCTGTGCATTACATATGTGAGCAAGCAACCTGAGGTAAGGTTGTGATATTATTGCGTAGCATTACCTTTTTGAGCCTGTCGGATCTCGGAATTTTTAGGGAAAGCGTAGTTCACCAGGCTTGATAGGGTGTCGATTATGACGAGGGACGTGTTGTTAGGAATCGCATTTGCCGTAGGTTTGCATAGGAGACCGATAAGATGCGCCAGGGTCGGTGCTTGGAAGTGGACGAAATCATCCAATTGATCTGCTGTTAATGATGCCGAAACAGAAGTGATCATATCATGAAGCCTACGGGAAGATACCGGATGGAACCCATCTATGAGATAAATTAATGACTCGGTAACACATCAACCATGTTAAACGACTATAAACTTATAACAGAAGATTGAATGAATATGGGCAAAGCAACACGAACCTACCCACACAACCTTCTCACCCTGTCGTAAGACATTTGCAGCGAGCTGGGTTCTATATTTGACATTCAGAAGATGCAACAACAGTTATATCATTTTGAAAGGCGTCTATACCCGAGCGAAGTCTTTCCGGATCCTGGGGGACCCCATATCTCTATGACTTGGCCTTTCTGCAGGCCACCAGGACGAGGTACGGTGCTGCTACTCTCACTAATGACATCATTGAGGGCTTGGTCGAGAGCCTCAATATTTGTCGGTAAAAATCGCTGAGGATCAGTCCCCAGATCTTCAAGCGCCTGGGCCGCAGAAACAGTTGGCAACCGATCTAGGTCTGGTTAGCACCAGTCTAAAGATATAAATGGTGAGATGCTATTCTTACGAGTCGAAGTTAGATCGAAACTAGATATATCTTGGCCGTGGATGGACGGATAGTCCATTTTAGAATCTGGGGGTAAGCGAAAGAAGGGGTTAATTAATGGGTCGCCGCATATAATGATTTATTTAAATTACGCAGGTCATATCATCTTTTACCCTTTTCGAGAATCAGGCGGTAAGAAAGTTTGTTGCTGGGGTTGGAGATTGGAGATTGGAGATTGGGGTTGAGTTTCCAAATCTTAGCAGGGTTTGAGCCTCACTGTGACAAGCAGCCGCAACCTGCAGATCAACCGTTGATCCCCTGAAGCAACTGTCGGCACTGGTGCACGTGACGTGGGGTCCATTAATTACTGATTGTACCTACGTACCTGCTTCGCTAAATGAGGTAGGTACCTCCTAGAGGTAGTGTCCCAGTGAGGTCGTCCTTGTCGTTGTTCATATTACATGTACTTATGTACTTAGTTGGATTCGCCTTGCATTAATCACATTTTGATCAAGAAACCCCGATTCTCCCAGCAGCGTCGATCAGCCACATGATGGTAACAATGCTGGCTAGTTCGAAGCTAACAAGCTTACTACTAACTAAGCTAATTGATGAAGAGGGGTTCTATTTACATACAAAGGATAGCATATCTGGCTAACTTGGATCGGTCCTCTCTTAACCATATCGGCAATAAGGCATTCCCAGCGCATCTTATGCCATACCTAGATAGTTCTAGCCCAATCCTGAACGGGTCCTAGACTGCAGTTGTTAATTAATTGCCCCCACGGAGAGCGCCATTCACTATTATGTACTAACAATTTGAGAGATTTGGCTACCGTGGCTACTTTCAAATAGTGCTCTTGTACAATTTACATACTACAATCGTGGAACAATCCGAGTCGCAACAATAACTAACCCTTGGCTAGCGGGTAAGGAAAGCATAAACCTATCACCATCTAAAGAAAGCTGAGACGAAATATGTGGTTCATCTCGGCCTTGTTTACTTTGCACAACCGGATAGAGAAGTCCAGTAAATCAGGTGGGCACTAAAAACGAAAAGTGATAACCTAAACCGGTCCCGACTGGGAGACTTTCTTTCTTTTCGCATTGATGAAGCTCGTCGATCCTCAATGCGGAGAGCTCACAACGGGTCTCCATTGGTTCGCGTGCCTAACTTCCATGGTTACGCTATCAAGGCTATCTCCAGATCGCAGGCAGGGGATGGATGCAGGTACGTGTCGTGTCGGGGAAAAGTTTCAACTCGGACCGGTTCCTGGGGTCTGGGCTTGTTGAACGCCACAGTCCGGGGTCCTAGGAAGTCAGCTTACTTCGGAAACATGGAACGGCATTCCTATCTCTCCTGAGCCGGTATGATAAGGTGAATAAATGCCTCTCGAAGCAAGACAATACAGTTATTCCGTAACGATCGCACCGTTTTCTCTCTCTTAAAAGCTACGTAAAACTACAGGTAGTATCCGAATAATCTATGGCGTATGCCGTCGTAACAGAATTCAGGGGATACATACTAGACTTTATGATGTATTCGGATACACGAGTATAAGGGGCTCATCTCGGTTTAATGGCAAGCGGAGCATGCCATAGCGTATATCGGACCAGTTCGGAGCGACCGAGAGCAGAAGGAAAAACCGGGGAACGATTTACCCGCGGGTAATCCTAGTCCACGATCAAGAAAAGATGGATCTAAGGAGGTTGAAACCCCCACCGAAAACCCGCACAAGCCTCATGATACCATTGCAGCCCCATGCGGGTTGTAAGAATCCCGCAAATCTGGTTTGACACAAGCGACCTTTTGAAATGCCTCTGTTAGAGTCTAGTTGTGTATTGTTTGATCGATGAATTGATGTATTGTGGTGGGGTAAATATCATCTATCATTAGCAAGGTCGTATTATTGCTTTGGGGATTGTGAATCCTAGCTAGCCCGTTGATAAGACTTTCAGGACGAGACGACTCTGTGTCGGTGTTTCTCGGCTACTACGTAAGCATCACGCACCATCAGCTTCGTGTTGAGTGTGCTGGATGCCACCGGCCTGACTCGCAGGTTACTTGGGGCTCTCGTATGTATGTACATATGTTGACTGGTAAATGCATATTCAACAAGATCGAGGACGAGGACGAGGACAAGGACAAGCCTTTCTCCGCAGCACGATATAGCTAAGGGCCGATTCAAACATCAGAGGGTGGCCCGATTGATAGGAAACTCGTTCGGCGGTTGATTGATCTTGCCTTGCCAAGATATCGCGGGACCTTATGTGCGTTTGCTACCATTCACTTTATTTTATTCTAGAATGTACTCCGGAATATGTAACGGGAATTAAGCTGCGGAGAGCTGTTGCGGAGAAGCGCCACCCTCCGTCTTTCTATATTACGTATGCGTAGATGAGTCTTCTATGAGAAAGGCAGGGAACTTCTGTTATCACTTACGAAGCAGGCTCCAGGAAGAGATTTTCTAATTTCATCTTATGCCTGAAGAAGCCGTGCGTACATAAGTAGTAGCTAATCATGACATCTACTATTATGCATGGCACGGTTACATAGGTAGGTTAGGTATCTAGTATTATTGTATTTATCGCATGAGCTACTATACCTGTAGGTTAGGAATGTTAGTCTATAGAGCTAGTTATTTTACTTGATTGCTAGAATTCCTTCGGACGGGTCCCTGCATTAAACATTTAAGGACCTGATCTTCTTGTTTACTCCTTGCAGCATAGACATGATATGACGTGTGTGTGTGTATATAACTGTTTGCTAACTTATAGTTATCTCATATATAGGTAGTTATATATAATAAACATGTTACTTATGATCGTAAGGTCCGTTCCAGATTTCAAATTAACTTGGTAATAACAAGGCTCATTTGCGCAATTAAGATGGACAAAGAGGTGCTCTTCGGTATGCCTTTCTGGGAAATGAGAACATTGTCTAGACCCTAAAGCCTTAAGCCTAATGAAGTATAAACTTAGTTTATCTGTGGATCTACAACCCCGGATCAGTGGAAAGTTTAAGTATTATCTTTGTGGGGAAACATGTCTATATAGCGAATTAAGTATTTATACTGTGCGTATCTTGCGTATCTTGATGGTTTACGTGCATGTAAGTTACTCATTTTAGCACCTTTGATACCTGTTTGTCTCATACGTAACTCCTCGTGTTTACAATGTTAATCTCAAGACCCTTGGAACCCGCGATCAAAGCTACAGTCATCAAATTACTTATTGGAAGTTGAAGCTATTGTATAACTATTCCCCAGGATAAAGTGGGTTTGACCTCGAGGCTACTCCCGCCTTTCCCCGGACTTACTTCCACGTCTACGCATTATTACGTATAGCTGCATACAAACTTAATGGGCTGTGAGGACTACACGAGAATAACAAAAAGCTTCATGAGCTGCTAGTGTAATAATTTTGAGTGGGCTGAAAGAAGACGTAGCAATCGGTTTGTCATTAGAGAGAAATGACATGTCAAGTGAAAATTAGACGCGAATCCACCCATGAGAAAAGGGCGGTATTAAATCTTTCGACATTAATATACGCGTAAGGCGACCAACTGATGAGCTATGTTCCATCTTGTACTTTCGGACGCATTCTACGACGCATAGCACACATCGATTATTATGCCTTACCTCGCTGCCTTCTATTATTTTATTCGTACGGCCCCCCGCGTTCTGAGAAAAGCTTGGCACAGACTGTGCTTTCGGTAAACTGGTATTACGGGGATTCAAATATCAATTAGTTACATCAATATTCTGCTCCTTACCGAGGGATGCCGCAGAAGAAAAACCTGCTTTCTTCATCGACAGCTTTCTTCCACTCCAGTTTTACCGAGACTGGGGGATTATTAGCCGTGCGATTACGTTCATGTTAGTTGTCGTCAGCACGTGTAAGACCTTATCATCAGCCACTCTCAAGGGAGCATGTGCAAACCATGGATCTGGTGATAACAGGACCCCAGCCTACGTATTCGAGAGTCTAAACTATACTACTTATTGAATTTTAGTGGGATGCTGGCCTTGTGAGATGGCAGCGTACCTGATAAGAAGCAAGGCTAACCCAGGAAAAAAAAAGTAGTATCTGGAACATGGCAAAACTTGGATTACACGCTATCTATCATACATGTTGCACTTGGCATGAATGTCTTACAATATGTATATACAGATCTTACTAGGGTAGATAGATAGCCTGTGGGGGAGAAGCTCTGGGGTACGGTAAGTCTAGTTGTCCAATGCGATTATGGTGACTTTCTTAACCCCTAACCCCAGATTTAGGACGAGTCAGGAACCAAGAAGAGAGAAAGATTGCGAAGATCAAACCCCGAGTCGCCTATCTACTATCTAGGGAGCCTGTGTTTCGTACGAATATATTAAGAAAGCTACGCAGTGCTCTCGTAATCAAGCCTTGTACAATACGAGCTGGTTGGCTTACTTGCGCTCAGGGCTCAGGGGCTGGGCTTGTTTTTTTTTTGGTCATCTACAAGTTGTCCAGGTGTCATGTCTGCACGTCTTCTTATGTCAGCCAGCGTCTTGCGTTCCGTTAAGAATTCTAGTGCGCATCTTGATCCACTCATCGGAGTCCATCTGTACTAAACTTCTCGAGTGTACTGCCGAGTCGACGATGGCAAGATAGTCCTTATCTATCACGCACTAAGAAGCACAACTCGTCGTCGAATGCGGCCGAGCTCGGCCCCACGCTCTCCATATCTTTTTATCGTGGGCCTTTACAATCATTTTTCTTCTGCTCGTAGTCTCCGGAGAAGGTATCATTGTATGTAGTCAGCTCCCACTTATGTAGATGGGTAGAAAGACAAAATAAGTTAATAATATACTTATTTTTATCAACGAAGATCCTTTGTTGGTCTAGTTACTTATTCGGTTTATTTATTTCTTGCCCCCTTTCCCTCGCCTCGATAGAAAAAAAAACCGAAACCGAGGCAGTTTTCGGGGCGCGAGAGAATTATCAAAAGTAGCTAGTCGTTGCCGCACAGCCAGCCGCCTTGCCATTTATCCCCACACATCTCGGTCGTACTATGCCACTACCCAGACCATTCAGGTGGATGACTTACATTGAGGCTAGTAAGATGAGAACGAATAGTACGAGTTTGGTACGATGGGCTCCTGATCCATTCAGGTGGGATTCGCTTGCGGCATATGCGCCTATTAAGTAATCCAAATAATGCAAACCGGTTACCTTTCATCTTAACGAGCCTCAAGTCCTCTTATTAGTAGCAGCTAGTGATAAGATGAACGGGACGAAAAGGCTTATTCTAGACATACTAGTAAAAGAAGGTGGAAAATATGAATCTGGGTGATACGATGAGATATGGAAGATGTTGCGAGAGGTGGATTGCGGATTATGCCATAATAGTAGTTAGGATGAAGATAGAAAGATAGGAAGATGGAAGTGAGGGAAGACCATGTGTTGTGTTCATTAAGGGCTATTCGTGGCTTGATTGTCCTTCTGTTACGTTTGCTAGACATACCCCCTGTTACTTACATCGTCTATGCAGTAATCTGTGGGCTTGTCTGGGTTGTCTGGGCTCCTTTTTATTTTTATTTTTTTACATACTATGCAGTAACTGCTTTTCCGCTCCCTTGAGAGCCGGGGGGCTCTAAGTAACGGAACTCCTAACCACATGTCCACACGTTCACACATGAAATCCTCTGACATTAACACGCGGAATAATCTCACACACCATCTCTATCTTTGCATACACCCCGTCCTATAAATGATGCATATGAAAGATGCATACACTGCATAGACGGCATAGACGACAGGTGGGAGGACACTCGCGAAAGAAGATAGCCTAAGATTAAAGTATTTGAGGCTTGGTCCAGACCACCCAGCTACTAGGTAGAGTAGAGAGCAGCAGAGCAGCAGAGCAGGTAGAAATAATAACAACAAATTCAATACCGATAATACCGATGCATAACAGGTAAAGTACCTCAGCCAGCCAGGAGGTAGCACATTGATGATTATTGATTTATTCTCTTTTTACTATGTACCCCCTTGTGCAAATCTCTCCAGTAGGTTCAGCGGCCTCCACGTTTCTCCTCCCCCTTCCCCAATTACCTCAAAATATAAATACAAATACGTACTATGCTATATAGGGTACCTAGGTACGTATTATCGTATCGTGCGCAACAGGTATGGCGAAGTAACGTGCGATGTACCTAAGTACTCCAGGGGGGCCCCTCTTCAGGACTTACCCACTGCCCGCCCACTGCCCAACCGACTAACCAACAGGTAGCCTGAAAACCGACCAATCATGTAATACATGCGCGCCTCCTTCAGAATGGAGCTTCAGGGTGGGTTCCAACTCCCCCAGGCCATATTCGTCCGTCTACTGGCTCCCCCCACACTAAGGGAGATTCTGTAAGGCAGGGCCCCGGAGGGGTGAAATGGGTGAAATTGTTACAAGTCTATAGGTACCTACAGTTCCAACAATTACACTGTACAGTACAGTTACAGTACAGTACCCTACTCGCATTTTTACTCGACTCGCCCACTCACCCACCGCCCCAGTGTAGCACGTTTTGGCACCTTGCAACTTTTCCGACCCGCCCGCTCTCGTAGTTCATTTAAAATCATACCAGTGCCCCCATCCCCCCAAAACGGCCTTCCCTTCGAAATTCTACCGCACCAGTACCACACCTGCAACCTACACCCGGCTTTCTTCGATTAAAAAACCCCGTTATCAACCTTGCTGTTGTACGTCCTCGAAATACCACAACAACCTGCACCACTACCACTAACAAAGACCTACGACTTAATAATTTTCAAAGGAGGCATCAAGGAAGAAGAGAAAAAAAAAAGAAGATTTGAGTATATTGAAAATCCGTGTCAAGCTGGCTATTACGACATCCAGCTTGTCAGTATATAAGCCGTACTTCCTTGAGAACCTATTATAGCAAGGAAGAGCCAGTGCCCACTTGGCTGGCGATCACATGCAACGCTCACAGTCAGCGGTGGATTTTTCCAATCTGCTGAACCCCGAGTCTACCACCACAACCAACGACAGCAACTCGACTGTTGGACATAAAGTGAATACGGACGGAGACGTTGATATGGCTACCGTTACTGTTATACGACCGAACGGCCCTCTGCCCGGCGGTCAACCTGCCGAAAACACAAACGAATTGCCACGACCGTATAAATGTCCTTTATGCGATAAGGCTTTCCACCGACTGGAACACCAGACTAGGCATATCAGGACACATACTGGTGAGAAGCCGCATGCGTGCCAATACCCTGGATGCAGCAAGAAGTTCTCCCGCTCAGACGAACTCACCCGTCACTCGAGGATACATAACAATCCTAACTCGAGAAGAGGAAACAAGTCGGGACAGGCTACGCATCATGGATTAGGTCACGCATTAACGCCGGACTCTATGATGCCTCCTCCCTCCAACCCAAGATCTATCAAGTCAGCCCCTAACTCTACGCTTGTTTCCCCAAACGTATCGCCGCCTCACTCTTACTCTGCATACACCATTCCGCATCCGGGGCCTCTTCATCACTACAACCGAAACATGAGTGGCAACGGCTCGCATCATAGCCATAGCATGGACATTGGCATATTAGCTAATGCCACAAATCAGATTGAGCGCGAACATATGAGTGTTCATCACCACTCGGCGAGATCTCACCCCTACTACTCTAATAGTCTCCACAGTTCGCGTGGCCATCTGCCTTCGCTCTCTGCCTACCATATGTCGAGATCTCAGTCGCACGATGACCACGACGACCATTACCATGCTCTTCGGCATGCCAAGCGGTCAAGACCAAACTCGCCGAACTCTACCGCGCCGTCATCGCCAACTTTCTCTCATGATTCTCTCTCTCCCACCCCGGATCATACGCCACTAGCAACCCCGGCTCATTCGCCGCGCCTTCGGCCGTACGTTGGTATTGAGCTACCAACGCTACGTAATTTGACCTTGGGACATACACCGGCGCTAGCACCGATGGAACCGCACCTCGAAGGATCCACTTACACACCCACCTCACAACCGACTAGCAATGGTTCTCGGCCCAGCGGCTTGTCCCTAACGGATATTATTAGCCGGCCCGATAGCAGTAGAAAGCTTCCTGTTCCTCAAGTACCAAAAGTCGCAGTTCACGATCTCTTATCCAACGATGGATATAATACTAGCGGTCGAAGTTCAGCAAGCGGCAGCTTGGCAGGTGACCTGATAGATCGGATGTAGGCCTGTCAATTGAAAACACTGTTACTATCATTGCGGCATGAATAACGACTTTAATTATAGAGGTTAACATAGACAAGAGGTGGCGTTATAGTGGCGGCATGTTTTTATTTTTGAGAGTAGCGGATGCTATTCGGCTTGTTTAATTACGCTACCTTTACGGTACTAATCCAAGCAGTTTCACAATGGACGGACGGCGGATTTACATTTGGGCTTTCCGTGTTTTCAGGCGAATTCACGAACTTTAGAATTGAGACCCTCATCGGCGGTTAGATCTCGTGTTATAAGTTGGTTCTGGAATGAAGTTTCTCTACTCTTAGGTTTCCGTTCATCGAGCAGAATCGACGGGAAAGGAACTACAAAGATTAACCACGTCTCTTTTTCGTTTTCTCATATTTCCTCTCAGTTTCACAGCGTTGGCATATCAGGGTTGATTCTCGCTCCTCATAGGCGATGGGTTAGACAAACACAGCGAGTTGCGTGTTTGGAGCATTGCGGCGCTTAGCTGGATCGGCAATCAAAACCTCGGGCGATCTGTCTACTTCCTCTCTTCTCAACTACGAGCGTTCAAGGGGTTCAAAGGAACTATTTGCTGAGTGTGCGCGTTTCAACTCAATCTCGGGCCAATATCTTGGTACAGGCTTGGCGGTTATCTGGTCACAAAAAGACAGGCAGCATGCTTTCACAATATTGGTAGTTGATAATGGTAAATGACATGAAGCACAGACAAATAAGATTCGGTCAAGACTTCTGAACATCTAAGAAACCTTGTTCTCCCACCACTTTGTTGACTTTGTAGACCTATAATATGATATACCTGATCATCGTGACAAATACCCAAGTTGTCGGGTCCAAAAATTACCCCGTAATAGCAAATCCCGTGTCCCAAACCTAGGTCGAGGAGACAAATGAGAGCGGGTATCGACATGCATTGCCCGACATGTACAAGTTCTAAAAGATTCTAAAAAAGTAGCCAGGATTTCAAAGTCTCCCTCCACTAATACAACCCAAGCAAGTTATTTTCTATATTTTCGTTACACAAGTAGGAGTCACCTATAATTATCGAGAGATACCGACACAAGGGACTAATAAGCCTATCGTCGCCCGTATCGCAGATTACTACGCGCAGCAGAGCCCCCCTGTAGTCACTCATTGGAACACCCCGCATACCTGGAGGCAAATAAGGGGACCAGGCTTAAAGACATGGGGAAATTAAGGGAGAGAGTGATAGCCTAACCTAGGGGAGTCTCGGCTCGGGGCGGGCTACTGGAATTTCTTGCCAAGGCTCTTCTCCAGATCGCCTTTAAAGGCACGGCTTATTACATACAGCGATAAGACGGCAAGGCGGACAAGCATTATATAAATTTCTCAGGTGTACGCATGCTTCACATGTACATTGCTGTAGTAATATTTTCGATATGAAAAGGCCACCCGCATATAATGACTGACACACCGGGCAGAAAAGAAAAATACAGAAAAAAATATTTTCCTCTCTTGTCTAAGTTACTTGCGGTATTATTAATATATTCATGCTCACCGCCGAATAAATAAACGCAGAAAAAGGAAGCTACTACAATATGTACCTAAGTTAATGAGTTTAACGTATGAGGATGGGATGGGGAAGAGGCGTCCCCCCACAAAAATACAATCTTGGTAGACCCTTTTACATTTCTTCTCTCGTAACAAGCAGAGATATAGCACGGTTGCAGAGGCTATGTAGAGAAGATTTTAGTATTGTACCAAGTGGGCACCGGGAATGACAAGCAGGAGGCACAGCGGCAGTGCGTCACCGTCAGCCCTGCGAGCAGTATGTATTATTACCTAGGTTAGGTATGTATGTATGTATGTAGAAGGGGGAAATAAATTTTCATTACCGGACGTCCCCGAAAAGCTGTGGTCCAATCCTGGGGTTGCGCTGAAGAAGCGGTGGGAGGTGGGAGGCATCATCTCTCTCTTATGCAACCTGCCAACGGTAGATGCGCAAGCTCCAATGACAAGCGACGGCCGCGGCCGCAATTATTCTTCATAGGGTAAGCAGGAGAGTTAGCGTTAGCCGTAGCCTCTTCCTACCTTTTGTCGACCTTCCTATTTACCGGGTTCTTATGTACTACTAATAGTACGTATGTCGTGACCGCGAGAGATAGGGGGGGCAGATAGCCTGTCTGGCCTGCTTGGGGGCGTTTACGTGTAATTGCTCAGCCTCGAATCCTAACAAGGCGACCTGAATTCGAAAATACGCTTCTACGTGCTTCCGCTGACGTGATACTTTCCACTGTACATAGGCGTCTTACATATGTAGGTATGTATGTACCTAAGGCAGCTGGTACGGCTGAATGTAAGGTTGGGGGGGTTCCTGAGGATCGCGGGTTAATAGTTTAGAAGGGGGTAAAATT